AATAAATATAAAGGTCAATTAAATTATAAAACTTGAGGTAAAGTTCTTTTTTAATTTATTTGGTGCATTTTAAAGGTATTTTTTTATTTAGTGGTTCATTTATATGTTTCAGCTTTTAATTCTAATTATGTCAGTTTTGGTCCTCCGTACTGCAGAACATGAAGAGGTAGTTCAGTGACTGAATCAGGTGTGTTGGAGCAGGAAACATGTAAAACATGTTACAATCATTCTGGTCCTGGAGGGACTGCGGCCCTCCAGGACCAGGATTGCCCACCTCTGATCTAATGAGTGCTTAATTAGTAGGCCTCCTCAGTATGCAACCCAGGTCTGCAGAGGCCTACAAATTAGGCACTCATTAGATTCAGCTGTGTTGAATCAGGGCAGCTCCTAAAATATGCCAGACTTTGGACACCACTGCTGTAAGCAAAGCGATTTATTGTCATTTTTCTACAAAAGATTGTAATAAAAAATATTGCAATATTTCATTTTTTGATAATGTATCAATTCTCAAAAGCACTGTATTGATTATTTTTATTAAAACTTAATGGGTGTAAGAAATTTGAAACACAAATACAGTTCTGTTCAGTGTTCTTCTGATAGCATAAAAAACAAATGTAATCACATTTTACGCATGTAATGCATGATGTGCTCTAATATTTTCTTACAGCCCTAGTTTGAAGTAGATAGGGTTTTCTTTGATAGCCACACTTGAATTTTAGAGTCGTCTGACAGTACTTTATTACACCTGTGTAACTATGTGTATATATGTATATGTGTATATATGTATATGTGTGTATATATATATATATATATATATATATATATATATATAGTTCATTTGTCCCAGTAACCAGTGAAAAACACTTTCCAGAGATGGTTCTCATATTGGTGTTGGTTGTGGGTCAGAACAACCTGTACTGATCATCTACTGCCCACACATAGATCTTATTGAACTAATTATGTGGTTTCTGAAGGTAAAGACCGTGGCTTCGAAGGAAAGGGGATAAATTCACATTTATGCACAACTTTTCAGTTTAGTTTTCCCCTCATTTAACTTCAGGAAGCGGAGCAGTTTGTGTAAATCTATTACTAATTATTCTAACTGACAATTCAAACAAAAACAAAGGGGGGATCCTTTTCCAACTGACTAACACAAGACTTGATGCTACCTAAGCTGACTCCTGTAAGAGTTAACTCAACACTCGTAGACGTAGTATAATCTGATGTGCCACCTCTGTAGTTAATGATTAACTTCGGCAGCTACCACCGGTGTGTTCATGGTGAACGAAATCACCTGTGCAGTAATGAATCAATGTCAAAGTAAACTCCAAAGTGCTCAAAACTGTTTTCTCCTTCCCAGGGTGAAGGTGTGGCAGCGTACGTGCTCGCGTTACAGCAGCTGGCAAGCAGAGACATGCCAGAGGAGCTGCGAACATCAGGCAGCTTCAGCTGGAGCTTTCTTTAAGCTTTGTGTTAAAGACAGAAGCTCAGCTGCTGCAAAGTCATTTAGGTTTCAGAAACAGACATTAGGTAAAATAGAAATGCTGCTTATCTCTGTATATCTGTACACTTCGCTTCAACATTAAAGGCTAAACTACAGGAATATTCACCTGAGTCACTCACTCAGTTTGGACATTATGTAAATAAAAACAGGATGCAGTCAGTTATTCATTATGGTACAAGTTCTTACTGTGAAGAATTAATATATCACTATGTTTCACTGTGAAGAAAATATTGATGAGATTTGCAAATAATTGTTTTCTGATTTTTACATTTCACACAGAGTCCAAAGCTTTTTGGAATTGGGGTTTTATTGATCAATTTGCCAAACAGTGATTAGTCAAATGTAAATAAATACCTGCTTTGTGGTGTGTGAACACCGGCCCACCTGAACGTCTCACGTCCCACTGGTCTCACACCTGAGGAGGTAAAAGTTTAAACTTTACAGATGAGGTAAAGTTAAGCTGCCAGGCTCATAAACCAGCTGATTCCAGCACTGTTGTTTACCACCGTTTACCTTGTTTACACACATACAACTCACCGAGAATCATTCTCATTGCTCTGAAATATATAAAACACAAAACATACTTGAGAACCTAAATATACACTTACACAACAACCGCAAAAAAGGAATACTTTAAAATTTTACAATCAAAACTTGTAAATGAAAAAACGACTAAAAGAATCAGCTCAAATTTAACTTTAACTTTTTCCCCAAGTACAATAAAAAGTAATAAGTAATAGGATTCATAGTAGAGCTACACCTTTAAGTATTCCAGTGATTAAATGACAGCTTTTATAACCTGGCAGTGAATAGAGCTATTTTACAAATTTAATAATATAACTTTATAAAAGTATAATTAATAGTTCAACCTTTCTGTCAGAAGCCACTAGAGCAAAACAAACATTTGTCTATCATAAAAAAACAACTGAGTTATGTTGATAAAATGTGTGAAGTTATCTTTAAAGTCAATATTAGTTTTAATTTTATTACATAAGAAGAGTTCATTCATAAATGTTAGAAAGTATTTGATTGTAAATATTAGATTAATATTTCTTTAAAAAGCCAAGTGTAAAGATTTTTTTGTAAAATTTATCACAGAAAATACTTACAAAATAAGGAATGTATTTATACTCAAGTGACCAAATTTTAATTATTATTTTTAAAAGGCTTGCTGAATAAAGAAATGTATCAATCTATGTAAATCAAAATGTTCCAGTATATATATATACACACATACACACACACACACACAC